AAAATGGCAAGTGAGTGAAATGAATTTTCTCACAATCTAGAAGTCCAAATTTAGGGCGCCAGATCTAGCGGGAGCTCTCTCTCTGCCAGCTCTCGGGGGAGATTTGAGTCTCAGCCCCTCTAGCCTTCTTCTAGACATCGAGTTGATTCCAGCTCCCAGCGGACCACCCCTGCCCAGGGACAGGATAGAATTGCCCCTGTGGATTTCCAAGAGTCGGAGGCAGAAAGCCTCATCTTTGTCCCGTGGAGCAACTGGTGGTTTCGAACTGCTGACCTTGCAGTTAGCAGCCCCTTGCATAACCACTACTCCACCAGGGCTCTCCAGTCTATATGCCTAGCCTGCCCTTTTCATGTCTCACAGTGATTGGTCTGGTTGAAACTCATCAACACAACAAAGAAAATTCTATTCCCAAATGAGATAGATAGATGATAGATATATATATAGATAGATGATAGATAGATAGATAGATGATAGATAGATAGATAGATAGATAGATAGATAGATAGATAGATAGATAGATAGATAATAGATAGACTTTGGAGAAAACATACATAGCAAATTAGGTCCTTATTTAGCAATGTCTTTACATATTATTCAGTGGCATTACACTGCTCAGCATGGACCAGCATTCTCATTGTTTCCCTCTGGTTGTTCCATTTCTATTCATCTAGTTTCCCTGTCCTACCTTGCTTTCTCATGTTTGGTAAACACTGACCAGGAGCCAAATGTGATTCCACCACCAGCATAAAGCTGGCGATCCCAAGGCCTATTTTGAGGGGACACAGTTCAGTTCCTAACACCATGGCAAATGGATCTGGCCCCATTTATCACCAGTAGCTATGCCCTGTCATTTCCCTCCCCTAGATGGCCTCCTCCAACCACATCCTGGGCTGATGCCGCATTCTTTCCCCTTTGAAAAGACTCCTGTCTGAGGAAGAGGCCCAGGGAGCAACTTCGACTTCTTCAGCAGCTTTCCAAGCACAAGGCTGGGGCTTGGAGACTGGCCTGGAGGACACCCTGTTGGAGCCCCTCCCTCCTTCCTCCCTAACTCCCTGCTTCTGAGAAGTAGCAGGGCTCTGTGGTTTGGGGTAAGCCCTTCAATCTCTCTCGCCTCACTTTGCTCATCTGTACAATGGGGGTAATAAACAATAGCATCAGTCATATCAGTCTTGTATAGGTGTGTGTCCAATGAGCTAATGAGAGTAAAAGCGACTGATGGGGAGTTAAGTACGATGTAAAAAAGCTAGTTGCTGGCTCTGAAAAGGATCTCATTAGAAGGTGCTGGATAGAGTGGGAGAAAATGTGGAACAAAACCGGAAATCATAAAAGAGGGCAAGTTTATGGTCAGACTGAGACAGGTGGGACCACTAGGGCTAGGGTCCTTAATCACCCTTCAGGTCTGGAACCAAATTCACCCACCCAAACCAACCCACAAACTGACCGTCCATGGCGAGTCAATGCAGACTCTCAGCCACCCTTAGGTGGCGGAACTGCCCCCCCGAGAGTTTCCAAGCCTGGCACTGTTCACGGGAGTAGAAAGCACCATCGTTCTCCCTCAGAGGGGCCGGTGGTTTTGAACTGCCAACCTTTCGGATCACGGCCCAAGGCATAACCACTACACTAGTAGGGATCCTTCCTTCGAAACTCACTCACTCACTCACTCACTCACTCACTCACTCACTCACTCACTCACTCACCCACCAACCATTGAAGATCAAAAGGACAGCATTTACTGCCCAGAAGCAAAGTTCATGGGGTCAGGGAAAAAAAGGCATGGAAACAGGAGATCCTGGAGGCAGTGGGATTAGGGACGGGGATTTCATTGAAGGGAGAGCAATGAGTTGGAACAAAATGTGCACGGATTGTTGAATGTAAAACTGATCATCTTGCTCCGGAACCTTCACCTAATTCACAATGTTAGAAGTTACAAAGAATCCCAGTTGTCCTCGATTCCAGATCATGGTGACCCGTGCGTACCCGGAGTAGAAAGAACGAAGCCCTGATGGGGTTTTCAGCAGCTGGTTTTCCTGATGCCGTCGCCAGGCCATTCTTCCCAGGTCTTTCCAGCGAGGATTCAAGCCTCCAGCCTTCCAGTTCCCGCTGAGGTTGCTTAACCATTGGCGCCACCAGAGGCGGCAAGTGTTATAATAAGCATGAACCCACCCACTGCCTTCAAGTAAATTCCAGTTCACATGGCACCATCGGACAGAGCAGAATGCTTCCTCGGGTTTCCTAGACTAAGTCTTCAGGGAAGCAGGGAGCCTCCTCTTTCTCCCACGGAGTGGCTAGTGGGATTGAACTGCCAACCGTGCAGTTAGAAACTTAATAGTTAAC